ATTATACACATATGACTATTGTCACACATGTATACTGCCAGATATTAATACATACTTTCAACATATTGTACCACAGTAGCCAGAACTATAACTATAATATTATTACTTTCAATAATGTTGTTGTAAGCTACTGTCATTACCTGCATCTCTCTCTCTCTCTCTCTCTCTCTCTCTCTCTCTGTCTCATTGTGTCATATGGATTACTGTTAATTTATTATGCTGATCTGTTCTGTACGACATCTATTGCACGTCTGTCCGTCCTGGAAGAGGGATCCCTCCTCAGTTGCTCTTCCTGAGGTTTCTACCGTTTTTTTTTTCCCCCGTTAAAGGGGTTTTTTTTGGGGAGTTTTTCCTTATCCGCTGTGAGGGTCTTAAGGACAGAGGGATGTTGTATGCTGTAAAGCCCTGTGAGGCAAATTGTGATTTGTGATATTGGGCTTTATAAATAAAATTGAAATTGAAATTGAAGTATATATACAGGTTAAGTACAAGTGGCCTACCTAAAAACTGTATATAAAAGTATTCTATGCAGGGTTACTGTCTGTAAACACACTTAGCAGTTAAAGTGAAAGTAAAAGCCAGCCTTAGATTTACCCATTTGGCGTTCCACCTTGCGATATTGGTGTTTTTATGGCACTATGTCTCTTGGATACCTGCTGCTTACTACCTGGCACTTGGTCGCTACCTTTTCATAAAGCCTGACCTCTGTTGGCTGTGGGGTAACACGCCCATAAACATCCTGAACACACAAGATAAGAAGAAAACACAGGCCGAGGGCAGAGTCTGTGGAAAAATACACCACCACACACTTCCAGTGACCCCTTCGGTTAATGTACTTATTTCCTTTCTACCAACGCACATCTAATACAGTGATAAACCTGCTGTACTTACTTTTAATCTCTACAACGGAGCTCATACTGCTGGAGACTCCTGTTTCTGGATTGAGCACGTTACACTCTAACACCACTGTATTTTCTAGTCCATTCGGTGCCCAAATTAACGTGCTCCCATTGACTGTGCGGCCCTCGAAGGTCCAGGTGTAGGTGCAGTTTGGGCGGCAGGAAGAGGAACAGGTGAAAGTGGTGCTGAAACCAGCTGTCACCTCACCGGTCCAGGAAATCTGCTCCCAGGCCTCCAAACCTGGTGCACCTGAGGGAGAGGAGGAGTCAGTATGGCTTTATCAGACAATGTACGATGTGCATTTATATTCTTACTATTTCTTCTTACTCATATTTTTAATATGAGTTAAAGGTTAATAGTAGTGGAGACCGGGTATGGTTGTAACAATGAGATGGCTGTGACAGCACCAGTTTCAGCAAGATGGAATGTCCATTATGACTAATATATGGTATGACCACTTCTTTCCTGAACTTGTGAAATATGTGTGAAGACCATTACATTTTGATTACTACTGTACTGTTGAAACAGAATATTGCAACTTGTTAAGATTAGACAGTTGTCACTTGGGTAAAATGTGAAGTATTTTTTTTGTTCATTTCAAACCACCATGCTGCTACAGCTGGCTTCAGGGGTGGGGGTGGTTGTAACATTTTTAAGTGTTAGGCTACAACTAAACCCAATGATAACTAAACATCTTGCTCTTTTTTCAGCATGCCAGGAGAGTCGGTGAGAAAAGTTGATGAGTGAGCTGGCACATGTCTTCAAGTCTACATGAGATGAGGTAAGGCAGGGAGAGACAGTAAGGTCTGTCCCCACAGAATACTCTGGCATGTGACATTGAGCAGACACTGCTAGAAATTACAAAACCTCAGAGAAAGAGGATCAACACAGCTGCCCTGGGACATCACAGCAGTCAAAAGGTTGCAGCAAGAATATGTCCTGACTGATTCACTGAGGCAGCAGACTTGTATTTTGGACCTAATCCACACAAAGCATCCAACAGATACAGGTTAGCAGGTAACAACTTAGTAGGAACTGGTTATTAGTGTCAGTTCGGTTTGGTGCAGTGTCTGCAGTGTTGCATCTGCCCATGGTCATGAGCTCTGGGTAGTGACCGAAAGAATGAGATCGCAGATACAAGCTGCCAAAATGAGTTTCCTCCGTGGGGTGGCTGGGCTCAGCCTTAGAGATAAGGTAAGGAGCTCAGAGTAGAGCCGCTGCTCCTTCGCGTTGAAAGGAGTCAATTGAGGTGGACCGGGTATCTGATCAGGATGCCTCCTTGGTGCCTCCTGTTAGAGGTCTTCCAGGCACGTCCCACTGGTAGGAGGCCCTGGGGCAGACCCAGAACACACTGGAGGGATTACATATCTTATCTGGCCTGGGAACGCCTTGGGGTCCACCAGGAGGAGCTGGAAAGTGTTGCAGGGGAGAGGGACGCCTGGAGTGCTTTGCTTGGCCTGCTGCCCCCGTGACCCGGCCCCCGATAAGTGGATAAAAATGGATGGATGGATCAGTTTTTTTCTGTATGCTTTGTGTAACTGTGTAATTTTAAATTCTTTACTAATGTCGGCACAGCTAACCCCAGCTTGTGTCAAAACTTACCCCAGTGATGGGGCAGGTTGTATCTATGAAACTCCTTGTGTTTGACATCATTTTTCAAATTCTGTGGTATCGTTAAAGCAGCTGGAAACATTGCTATTTTTAGAATACAAACAAGGTAACTTAGTGTCAAAATTTAAAAGCTCTTAAACATAAATTCAGCAAGTTATAGATGCTGAGCCAAAAGTGTTGAATCCATACCCAGTCTCCCCTGTAGTGTTAAATCCACTCAAGCACAGATGAAGTCATATTGAACTTCAGAACATACAAATCACAGCACATCAAGGCCAGTCTGAACTTAGAATACACCATTGAATCCTGAGAATTAAATTATTATGTAGAGTAGGATACATGAGGGGCATATTCAGTTAGTTAGCAGAATAAGAAATGTAACATGCAGTACCAACACTCTCTTAAACACATTCTTAAAATAACATTAAGCCATCTAACTGTTCGTATATCAGGTTTTTAAAGCTCTCCTTAGAGTTACAGTCTATGTAAAAATCAGCAGTCAGTAAACAAAGTGCTCTTACCTATTAGTGCCACCAGCAAAACACAGTAAAGACTCCTCCTGTAGGGTATCATGGTGTCTCTCATGTCTTACTCCACTGTGAGTTTAAACAAGAACTACTGTGCCTCCTTTTTTTAATACACTAACTACTGTTTAAGTCTGAGACATAAAGTTATTACTGTAACTAAACCTATGACTAAAATATCACTCATTTCAGTCACACCCATCATCTTGTTTAACATCAGAATTCACATGATGATGAAATCGATTTCGAAATTTACAGGCAAACAGGAAATCTGTAATTACAGCACAAAGGTTATACTGTGTGGTGTTTTGGTGCGTTTTGAAGCATTATGTGAAGTGAGTTGTAAAGACAGTAATCTGAACGTTGATTACTCTGTGCGCACTTGGAGAGCATTGTAATGTGCACACATGATGCACACAGTGAAACAACAGCGCACTGTCCAGAGATGAAACCATCTGTAGAGAACTTTATGATGTCACAGTGAAATTGACCTTTGACCGTGTGGATATACTATGTCATCACTTCATCATTTTATCCTATTTGATATTAGTGTGACATTCTGTCATAATTACTGTATGAATTCTTTAGTTATGGAAAAAAAATGTGTTTTGTGAGGTCACACTGACCTTGACTTTTGACCTTTGACCACCAAAACCTAATCAGTTCTTCCTTGAGTCCAAGTGGACATAAAAACTAATGTATCATGAAAGATAAAAATGTAAATAGTTCTGTGTGTGTGTGTGTGTGTGTGTGTGTGTGTGTGTGTGTGTGTGTGCAATAGAGACTTCCTTTTTCTTTTGTTTGTTTCCTGAGGCCTTGGGCTACATGGGTGAAGACTCAAAGCATTTGTACGTAGTTATTTTGTGTTGAAAAATTAATACATTTGTACAAATTCTAATTCTGTTTTTGTTTTTCTTTTGGCTTTATGGTCTTATAACTATTTATAATAGCCACATGTATATTCAAACACACGCACACACTAGATGGCACTGTCTCACAGGAGTTTGTCATTACCTGATGTTCCCTCCTCTTTTTGACATGGCCTAATTATTAACTACAGTCAATTGCCTGAGTGATTTTATTACTACAACAGTTTCTTGGCAGGCCTAGCTATAAATGGGTGTCAATGTAATTATTAAGCAGCTTCACAGTAAAGCATCTATTCAGCTCCTGAGATGGAAACGATATATGATCACAGTCTATCATTGTTTAGCCTCAGGGACATTTGAGTCCTGTTACATGGGAGATATGATTTGAAGCAGAATACAAAATTTTTCTTACAATAAAAGTTCATTATCATATGTGATTCTCAAGGAAACAGTATATTCAGGTGCAGCCAGTACAATAGTAAACCATAACAAGTTGGTGTGTTTTCTGTCAGGAAATATTGTCATTTATCTATTTTAGAGATTTTAGCGCACAAAGGAAAAAAATACACACGTCCTTCCTGTAATCTTTGTGCTTTGTTATTTGAGTAGATTGTGTTGCTGTGATGACGTCAGGTTGGCACAGCAACGTATTTATTCACCTTGAACTTTGAATTTATTGCAGTAATTGAAATGCAGTGTCATCGGGTTAATGGTTGTAATTCTGCATACTGTTTGCGTACAACGCCTTCCTCCCCCTTCATGATTTTTATTTTTAGATGGGGTTTTTTCAGTCTCTTTTTAGGCCTCTTCAGCTTTGCACTTATGTTGACCTCAAGCATTGTAAGTAACAGACACCAACATGCTATTGTGCCTGCTGATTATTTACATACTCTGTTAGCCTGATACCACCAGACCAAATTGCAAATGAACATTATCAGCCAGAGCAAACAAAACATGAGCTCACAGATTCGCCTGGCTCCCAGGCCGAGACTCTGTGACTTCCACGCACAAGATAAAAGGAGACCAGTGTGATGTGTGTGGATATGCACATGCAATGTCTACACAAGTGTCACTAAAGTGAGACATGCTACACAAATACAAAAATTCAAACAGTTTAATTATCTGAATGAGAAAAATAAATTATTACAAATGCAACCTGAACTTTACATTAACTTCTTTCTTTGGTCAAACATTAATCACATGTTCACTCTAATGAGGCATGCAGCACTTTAAGAAAAAGCTTTGGTCATTACAGATTACCAACATAACACAATTCACTGTGAAACAAGTACGAGACTTATTCCTTAATTTGCCCTTTAAAACACACAAAAGCCCTTAACATTAGATTAAGATGTGTGGTAAGGGATCCCTTAATTTGTCCATTCATATGAAAGGGCAAAACCGAAACCCCTTCATACACCTTAATTTGGAAAGCACATCACTGAAAAAAATAAGAAGAATTTAAGGCGAACATGATTTTAATGGATAACATGCACAGTTGACAAAGTATTTCAAGTGGTAAAAAACAACAACTTAAAACCTATGAAAACCACTTCTAATTCAAACATTAATTGATAACTTAAGGCCTTTTAAGGTATAAATTAAGTGTTGGTTTTCTTTTTTTTTTTTTTTACCCCTTTAATAGTGCATATAATCCATTAAAAATATCCTTACAGGGGCGTCCATTAGCTCACCTAGTAGAACAGGCGCCCCATGTACAAAGGCTGTGTACTTGCCGCAGAGGCCACAGGTCTGATTCCAACCTATGGCCCTTTGCTGCATGTCATCACCCCCCCTCTTTCCCCCTTTTTACGCTAACAACTTAGCTGGGGGGGGGGGGTTCTAGCCAACACGTGAGTGACTTGTCTGATGACATCAATCTGACTGAAGACAAATGACTCACTGTGTAAATAGATACTTAGAACTGAGAAAAACACTCACTCAACATACATGTTATTTCATATATTTACAATGCATCTGCTCTATATCGGTCTACTTAAAGCTATAATCAATATTTTCATGCTAACAATGTATTTTATAATTTCAAAACACTGTGACGATGTGAAAGGGGTCAGCCCTTGGTGATGATGACCCTACAGAGAGTTATCACCTGAATTTACAGCCTCCCTCGGCTTTATAGAGTGTTATAGTGACTCTCAGCTTATTGGTTAGCTGTCCAGTGTCAAACCCAATGGATTAACTTAAGAAAAATCTGAGGTAACACTGATTTAATCCTCACTCACAGCATTACCATCACCTTATAACTACTTTGTTAACCTCAAACACAGTGTGTTCTGCTTTATCAACAAATGAAACTATCAGTGCAAACGTACTGCATTTAATGCCTGAGAATAATGATACAGTCCCCAACTTCTAATGTCTACATAAAAGTTTGGTTATGTACAGGGTTGAGGGGAACTTACATCGATTACCTTGCAATGTTTCACTTCTCTGAAATACTTCCCTGTTGGCTCCAGGCCTTACAGGGAGAGAAAGCACCATATAATTTTATCATATAGCAACCTTTGTTGACATTTACCGTTAATTTGTCCTGAATAACTCTGATGATCACTTACAGTTCATATTGACACATTAGGTCACAGTTTCGGCATGCCCGTTGAACGGACTTTAATACCAACGAATCTGTAGATAACCATCTAAGAGCCATTCGAGTGGTTTCCTTTATCTTTGGCTAGCAAATATTGTTTCTACCACTCAAGCAGAACTGGAGAGAAAACCCTTGTTTTTTCATGCAAGCGTTTTGGATATTGTGGCAGCAGACCTCCCCTTTGTGTTTTTATATAGTTTAACTTTATCATGGTGGTATTTAATTATTAAGATTTGTATCTGTATTGTTCTTTTAACTGCTCCTTTGGACCAACTGATAACAAATCTTTCCATTACTGCTACGTGTAGGTCATTACAGTTCACTACTGTACTGACAAATTAACAAGGTGTTCCCATGTCCTGATAAACACCAGTGAAAGGTGAATTATATATTGCTAAATAACCAATATTTTTGATTTTGTTGATGTAAAATAAATATAAAAATGAATCCATAATTGAAAAACAGTCATCTCAAATGGCATCACACAGTACACACGGGGAGTCAAACATGACACCACATCGGTGTCAAACATTATGCTCAAGCAAACAACTGAATCACATAAAGAGAACATTTTCACTTGCATGTAATGTGCACTTTGCATTAACTGTGCAAAGACAAACAAAGCTGTTATATGTGAATGAAAGCAAATAGGTCAGCATTGTGCTGTGTGACCTCAGTCACGGCAGTAACTGTCACAGACTGGTTGATTATTAACTGCTGCTAAAGTGCTTTGACTAAATAAACTCAAGTCCAAAATAGTCCCCTATAAAAGGAACTGAGAGAGGAGTGCAGGTTTTTTCACAAACCAAGTCAGCTGCTTCTGGCCTCTGGTCTAACCCCCTTAAGAGGATGATTGAGATCCAGTGCGGCTGCTTTCTTGCGAACCTGAACTGGGAATTTGTGTGGCATTGGGAGGCTGAGGAGCTGTTCCCTTCTGTCGTTCCTGATGGTCATCATAGGAAGGAGGTGAGGACGGTTTAGGTTGACTTTTGTTTACTTGGAGCTCAACATATTCTGATGTGTCATTCTGTGGCCCAGGCTGGACAGCCCCACCTTTGTTCTTGTCAAACTTGACCTCTACATAATGGAGCTCCTAGAAAAGAAAAAGTGAGGGGGGACAACATTAGATCACTTTGACATCTAATTGATATCCTCAAAAATAAACACGACCATAAGCAAGAGAAGCTGCAGCAGACTGCTGAGGTTAAGACACACTTTCTCTCTATTGTGTCAACTGAATTTCTTCTTCCTGGTTCAAAGTCTGACGTTGAGCACTGTGGTAAACACAGGAGTTTGATGGAGGGTTGTTTAGTCACAGAAAAAAACACAAAAACATGAAACTCCATTAGCTGTGCCTTGTCAAAATAAATCAAAACCTTTATGAGTGGACCATGTGGGAATTCAATTTGAGGACAGACACAGGAAGTGGCCACGCTCAGCAGTCAGACAGGAGTCACATACATTTACAGGGCTGGTACAGGGCTGTTACAGGGCAGTTATTCCACAGGCTAGTTAATAACATGTCGGGCAGGAAATCCAAAGTGTGGGATCATTTTGAGAAGGTGAAGGACGAACCCAAGGTGATATGTAAACTCATGTTCATTGGTCGACTACAAACATGATGTATCATCTGAAACATGTCAGTGGCTACAAGCCCATTAGCCACTTAGCACAATCATTACTGCTTTGCCGACAGCGTCATTAACAGGTGGCTCGCTCAGTGTGTGACGTGCACTTGTAGATAAAATATAGGCCTATATTAATGAAGGTTCATTAGTACGGTTTTGTATTTCTCTGTAATGTAGCACAGCGTTAACAATGTTACTGATACTATTCTTTCTCACACCTTCAACTCAAAACATTGTGTTGCCCCGCCCCAAAATATATCATTTAATAATTAAATTAATATCATAAACATGTGGGCGACTAGTCGACTAATGGCCCTAAATGACAGCTATTGCTCAACTAGGAAAATCTTTAGTTGAGGGCAGCCCTTCTTGCAACACTAATACTGTGCACTATATGTGATAAAACCATCTATTGTAATTACAACCCTGTATTAAATCAATAAATGTTCAGTGTGTAGGATTTAGGAGCACCTACTGGCACAAACAGAATATAATATTCATAACTATGTTTTCATTAGCTTATAATTAATTGCAAATAAGCTTAGAGTGGACAAACTAAACACTGGCTCTTGATAGGGCTATCTGCTAGCATTTTCACACTGGCCACCAAAGTTATCTGTTACGCTAGGCAAATGGGAGAAGTTCTATTTCTGCAGCCTCACTGCCAGATGCCACTAAATCCTACTGTTCCCACTGGACCAGGGGTTGGCAACCTGCGACTCTTTAGTTCGTCTCCAGTGGCTCCCTGTGGCTTAAAAAAATCATATGGAAATAAGTAACTTCTTTTTTTTGTCAATTTTCATTTATCATTTTTGTAGGCCTGAAGAATTTCAGACATTATACAATTGTAAAAATGTGTTGACTACTCACTGAATAAAAAATAAATGTTATAACTTTTTTGTCTACAGCCTGGTGCCTATTCCTCTAAATTTTCCTGAACCTCACTAGCAGTGGCTTGTCTTGAGTTTTATACTGGGCTGGCTATGGAACCCAAATCCAAAAAAAATAAATATCTAAGAGGAAAATAAAGACATTAATAATGTTTGGACAGATTTGTTTGCTATCTTACCAAATGTTCATAAGTAGCCAAGAGCAGAGTTGTCACCTTGTGCTAAATCTTAAATATTGTATATCAAACAAAACTTCAAAATATGTATTATACTGCATATAAAGTGAAACTGAAGACTTTTACCTGACTTCCTGAGAATCCTGTGTTTTCCTGCCCTTCACCTCCTTTAAAACATAAAAAAATAAACAATGAATTTAGGTAGTAAATAATGTATAAACTGTATAAATGCACATATTTATATTCTACACACACACACACACACACACACACACACACACACACACACTTGTAATGCACATACCTGTTCTACTGGTGGTGTTTTTTTTCTGTATCCTGTTTAGAAAGGTAATGAGTCATTATTATGCAGATTAGACATTAGACAGACATTATGTCTTAATGCAACATAATAACAATAACAAAAATATATAGGGGAGGCACAGTGGTCAAGTGGTTAGCATTGTTCCCTCACAGCAAGAGGGTTCCTGGTTTGAACCCAGGGTGGGGGGTTTAAACCCATCTGTGCAGAGTTTGCACGTTCTCCCCATGTTTCTCTGGGTACTCCGGCTTCCTCCCACAGTCCAAAGACATGCAGGTTAATTGGTGACTCTGAATTGTCCGTAGATGTGAATGTGAGCGTGAATGGTTGTCTGTCTCTATGTGTCCTAGTGATAGTCTGGCGACCTGTCCAGGGTGTACCCTGCCTCTCGCCCAATGTCATCTGGGATAGGTTCTAGCTCTCTTCTAGCTGGTTCTAATTACATTAAATCTGTTCTGAGGATCATATTTGTCTTGTGTAGCACAAACGTCATACAATATAATGGAGCCTGACATCAGCACAATCCTTTTTATATTGTTAAGAAATATATATATATNTATATGTACAAATATGTTTACTAGTAATTCTAACATGACAGAGATGTAATTCTTTTAAGAATGCTTTACAATAATGACTTCTAGTCTTACTAGCGTACATTATGAAGACTTTTGAATAGGGTTTTGTGCAGTTCTTTAAGTGTTTCATGACACCCATTGCAGAGTTTTAAGGCATGGTAAGCCACATAATATATGACAGTTTAATATTTATACCTGACAAAAACAAAAGGTTAGACCATGAGGTTGAACAGTGTTGAGGTGCATTGTGAAATAACACTAAAGATTTACAGTCAAAGCTAAAGGCAGTCTTAGGACTATATGGAAAATATATAACAAAAGCACCACATAGGTAAGTGAGCCTTTGTTGAACATCAACCCTTTGAAGGTTGAGTAAACAAAGTTTTACCAACGTCAGCCTGAGTCTAGTTCCACATTTTCTATCTGCTCTCCTGCCATGAACAAAGTGACACTTCCTCCTGCCTGGTCTCTGAGTCTGATTTTGGGTCCAAACCTGGCAACACTGAGCCATCATCGTTCTCATAGTTGTGATTGACTCTTAGGGATTAAAAAATGGCTCCTTGGTTATATCTTTAAGCTCTTTTCCACTTACTTTTTTCGATAAAAGAAGTACCCTCCACCTCCAGCTGCTGCAAGGACGACTAGAACTGCAATGACTATTCCAGCAATGCAACCACCCCCACAGCCTCCTTTGTGTTGTGGTTTGACTGAAATGAAACAGGGAAAAGAACGTGATTTTTACACCACTCTGTAAACAGGAACTGTCTATAGTGCCCATGGATACAAAGCTTTCAATAAATTCTGCCCTAAAGTGCTTCCATAGGTGGCCAGTTATAAATACACATTTATTTAATGTTAACCGTAAGGCATCGATTTCTACTTTGGCTCAGATGGAGAACATCCCTGATTGGCAGGATGGTCAATACACTCTTCTTAAAGGGGAACTCCACAGATTTTTTTCAGATTACCAGAGGTAGAACACTGTGGGTTGATCGGTATCTTACTATATAATGACAAAAACTCTGTCTGTGTGTGTGTCTGTTCCACATTTTTTCTCCTCACTTACTTGGTCAATCCATGTGAAATTTGGCACAGTGGTAGAGGGTCATGGGAGGATGCGAATGAAGCAATATTACATCAATTGGCCAAAGGGGGGCAAACTTTGAATGGGCATATCTCATGGCCCGTATGTCGTAGAGACATGAAACTTTGCACAGAGATGCCTCTCCTCATGAGGAACAAATTTGCCCCAAGAACCCATAACTTCTGCTTATATAGATTTTCCGCCATTTTGAATCTTTTGAAAAACACTTCAAATCTCTTCCTAGAAAGTTTGAGCGATCTGCATGAAACTGGGTGAACATAATCTAGGGACCAATATCTAAAGTTCCCTCTTGGCAAAAGTTGGAAAACTTACTAAAACTGAGCTTCTATAAGGCAATGAATATTGCGGAGGGCGTGGCTCATCACATAAAGGTGTATAACATCTCAAGGGTTTCACCGATCACCACGCAACTTTGTAGGCATATGACCACACATAATCTGAGGGGACCCCTCCATTATTGACCCCATCAAACAAAATGGGGGCGCTAGAGAGCTTATTTCTTATCTAGGCCTAACAGCCATATCGATTTTTACTAAACTTGGTAGATATGTAGAACAGGATGCCTCAAGGTGACTGGAGAAATTTAACTCTAATTGGCAACTGGGTGGCGCTATAACAACAGAAAAATGCTTAAAAATGGCTAAAATGCAACCGATCGCTGTGGCTCCCCCTGTGGACCAATGTTGTTTTTTTTTCTAATTTCTGGTATGACTAAGTCATGTTGCTGCTGCAACAAGGGCTAGCCGCACCTTTCCCATGGGAACTACCAGTGTGCCCCTCATTTAAGTCAATACAACATATAAACACTTTAACTATCTGCCTTTCAATGTGCTACCTCAACTACTAATGTACAGTTTTAGCCCACCAACTATCCCACTATTGGCAATGGTACTACTGTACTTTCAAATAAGGCAATTGTACTATCAAATTCACAAAAACTCTGTCTGAATACATTGCTCTTCTTAATGGGTTCAGTAGACTATTTAATTTGCAATTTCCTATGACCTGTATCCCAAACACACACCATGTGAAACTGTACGTGGGCAACTGTGCACTCAATGGGTATGGACTAGTTTAAAATTATTGACAAAATGTGCGATCAACACCATCCTGGTACCTGTTACAGACAATTCATGGACTGCAGACCGTTTTCTTTCAGTTACGTCATTCATTGCTTCGCAGGTGTAGATGCCACTGTCTGAGGGTTGAACGTTGACTTTAGTGAACACAGCAGAATTGTGTATCTCTGTCCCATTCAGTATCCAGGTGTAAGTGGCAAGTGGTCTGGACTCAGCAGAGCAGGTTAAAGTTAAGTTCTCATTCAGATGTATCTCACTTGGGCCTGTGATTTGAACATTTTCTGGTCCATCTGAAAAACAGATATTTGTAAAGTTCTCACAGCAGCACAAACTATGAAGAACATCAAATAAAATAAACACCTACAAACAAAACATGTCAGTACTACAGTGTTATTTATAGCACATTTTGAGCACCAAATGTGCAGTTAGTCACCTACAGTTGACCTCCATGGAGTATTTAGCTTCATCGCTGCTGACGGGGTTGCTGACTGTACAGGAATATTCTCCACTGTCTTTTCTGGTCAGGCTCTTAAAAAACAGCACTCTGTTCTCATCGTAAAGTATTATGTTATCAGACAGGATCAGATCTGAGCCATCCTTCATCCACTTTCTGGTAAAGACAGAGCCAGCAGCGTCACAGGTCAAGTTGAATGAGTTTCCTTCAATCAGCACGTTTGTTGACGGCTTAAGTGAAGCACCTGATATTATCTCTGTTGGGCAAAAGATCAAGAAAAATAGGAGAACAGGAACAAAAGTAATTGTTACTGAAGGATAACAGGTAAAAAATAAATGTCCCCTTGGGGATTAGTAACGTATTTCTTCTACTTCTTCTTCTTCTGCTTGCTCAGAACTACTTCACTATTAGTTTGACACTTATTAACCCACAGGTTCCCTATTCTAAAGTTGCCTCCTCTTCACACTTACTAAATTCATTATAGCACATCACTATGGCAACTAATATCTCCTTTATTAATGGACCAATTCATCAATTTTCAGATACAATATCTATTAAAAATGTACTGCCTTCATGCCTGAAGAGGGGACAACTTCAGGATAGGAAATCTGTGCGGGTTAATAAGTGTTAAACTACTCGTAAATTAGTTGTGAGCAAACCTCACCATAGAATGGCCAACACATTTTGAGAAGACTTCAAGTTTAAGTGTGTCCGGTTTAGGAGGACGTATTGGCAGAAATGGAATATCATATAATAAGTATGTTTTCTATGGTGTTGAATCACCTGAAAATAAGAACGCAGTGTTTTCGTTACTTTAGAAGGAGGCATTTATTTCTACATAGGGACCGGGTCTCTCCGCCATGTTGCACTGCCATGTTTCTAGCCCATTACAGAAGAAAAAAACACAATCACTGGCTCTACATAGGGTCATTCACATTTTTGCATCCCAGACCAACATCATTAGCCTCACCGCGATGAGACTTTAGAAAAAGCACTGATTTTTTTATAGTCAAACTTCTTTTATCAGCATTTTACCAGTTTTAATCAGCTGGTCTCTTCGTTTTGTAGAAAAAGAGACCTCAGCGGATGATTCTGCTCCCGGTAAAAACTTCCTGAACATTTAACACTGATGGAATTTTAACTGGGAGAAGGTTTACCTGGTTGCAGTCTGCAATCCTCACTGCTTGATGCTACTAAATCCCCCTAAATCGTACACATTGTTCCTTTAAATTGGAGTGTTTTTGGACACCATTAAAAGTTGTAGTGTTGTTTTTAATTAAATAAGAATAGATCATTATCTATTAACTGTTATTAAGGGAGAATGACTGACTTTGCGGAACTACCACAGTATTAGGCCCATATTGGGCATATTAATATAGTAATTAATGTACAAGTACTTCCTTACTTACTATTAATAAGCAATAATTAGAAAGCTATTGAGGGAGGGATTGATTGATTGATTAATTGATTGATTGATTGATTGATTGATTGAAACTCTTACTTAATGGCCTAGTAGCTGTGGTATATGGTCCAGAGAAACAATGCATAGCTTTATAATGACTAATTAGGAGCTACTATGCTACCAACATGCATGCTAATAAGCAACTAGTTAATGGTGAATATGTGTACCTTAAAAATAACAGTAACAATCACCAATATTGTGCACATGAAAAAAAATGACATGTTGAATAAGAGCGATGGTTTTGTCCCCATTCTTGCATTAAAATTCAGTGTAAGCTGCATCCCATTTTTAAACAACAGAAATTTGTTTCAGCTTCATCGACCCTAGGGTACTGCTATTCAGTGCACAACCAGTGAAGCAAGCACAGCTCTTAGAGTAGCATTGGCCTGACTCCTGCATCGGGCTGTCTAAGCTAAATGCTAACAGATAGACTTATAATGTCTTTAGCACCCACAGCTCAACCAATTGCAGTTGCTTCAATTCAGGAATTTGAAAAAAAGAGCTAAATATCCAAAATACTGGAATGCATGTTTTTCCTCCTCAAATTTTCTGAATTCAATAATGTTCGGCGGGCTTTGGCAGGCTGGTTGTGGCCCATGGACTGACAGTTGACGACCACTGTGCTAAATGATCCCATTTGTTCACCAGCTAGTCACTCTGTCTGTCTGTCTGGTCAGGAAGCATAGGACTTAAGTGCTCTATGTTACACAATTTATGTTTATCTTGTCTTTTTTAAATTATTATTTAATATAATATCAAGAAGCACTGATTTGAGTATATACACTTTGTCAATACAGAATATGCAGCTGGGCACTTATTTGTCATCTTTGTGATCACTTAACTATATCCACTAAATCTCTTCATTCTAACTTACCCAGTACAGAGACAACTGATGACTGAGATGTTTGATATCTCAGAGTTCTGTTGTTAAAGGCCTGACAGCTGTAGTTACCACTGTGATTCATCTGAATGTTCATCAGTCTGAGCTCTGGTCCAGTATCAGACAGCAGGTCTCCATTCACAAACCAGTGAAACAGGGCAGGAGGTCTGGAGACAGCTGAGCACATCAGGCTGATGTCTGACCCTTCGCCATAATATTCTTGTGATGGAGATACTGTCACATTAATATTGTCGGGACCATCTACATTGTGCAGCACGTGGGGAGTGGAAAAAAAGAATCACCAAAAAGTAATGTTAGTATCTTGAAGAAAATGCTAGATTACATGCAGTTTAGTTCAGTGTGAAGCCTCATTATACCTTCAGCTTTGACGCATGGATGCATATAGTGCAGGATAAAGAATATGCACATATAAGTTAGTAACTCACAGCTGATGGAGAGGTTTACTGGATCACTGGTGCCATTACTGACAGGATTAAACACACGACACCTGAATGGTCCCTGGTCGTAGCGGGTCACGTTAGCTATAGTGAGATTGGCGCCTCCATCAGTGAGCTGAACTCTGTCACTTTCTGTAACCTCAGAGCTGCCGTTCAGCCAGAGGAAAGAGAGAAAGGACCCAGAGGCGGAGCAGGACAGACGGACAGAGCTGTTGAACTCCACCAAGTCTGGTGGGTCTGAAGTTACCACAACATTGGCAACACGTGCTGTGGGTGAAAAACACAGTGGTTTTTAAACTAGCCGGTTTTCCTGCCTAAGGCCGGATGAGTTCAGCTGTCCAAGCCACTCTGTATAATATCTTATCCTATCTGTTGCCTAATGCTTGGTGCAATATTTAACCAGTGTTGGCTGATCTTACAAGTTTATTGTTCTTAATTTGTCTTTTAGTTTGGGTGCTTGCCACAACTTTTGCTGTGGGCCACTCAAGGAAGTCATTTTTGTATAAGTTCAAACATGTTTCATTTTGAGCCTCAGTTGTCTCTGTACAAGCAAACATTGCCGACCTATCTTGGGTCCAAATGCAGGGTTCATTATCAAAGGTTTCTTCACGTGCTCAGTCGTGCAAGTGGGTGAGCAATCTACTTCAACAGAGTCTATTTTTTCTTGCCCCTATACAAATTGCTTTATCTATTAGTGGTTATCAAATAACAATAAAGACTAAAGTTCATGTCTAATCTTTCGCCCACGTTCTCTAATGCCATGCAGCTAAACTTCTGTCTCCAGAATAACTGAAATGCCCGCTTGTGCTTCAGCTCATAAACTTTGTCTTTATCTGTTGCCATTTTCTCACGAGAGCCTGATTAATACTGAGCAAGTGCAACTCTCAACAGAGATGAGAAAAAGAAACAAGATGTTTCACCCCTTAGCTACTTACATTTTCAGCATGGGAACAAAACAATGTGATTTAATAGTTTTTAACACTTGCTAGATCAGGAAACTGAGATGCTAGAGTTACCAGCCTGATGTAGAATTTACTAGCCCTCTGCAATCAGGTTATCCTTATTGTTGAGCCCTGAAATGTATGTACAGTATTATTTCTTTTTGTTCCATGGATGTTTGTTAAAACTGTTTTATATCTAATAAAGTTTTATCTGACACTATCACAGGTATGTCCCATTTTTCTATCTATATTTTTAGCACAAAACCTTTGATTCAAACTCACTCAGTACAGAGATGGTGGCAGATGGAGATGATTCATATCTCAGAGTTTTGCTGTTATAGGCCTGACAGCTGTAGTTCCCACTCTTACTCATCTGAATGTTCGTCAGTCTGAGCTCTGGTCCAGTATCAGACTGCAGGCTTCCATTCAGAAGCCACATAAACTGGGCAGCAGGTTTGGAGTCAGCTGAGCACATCAGGTCGATGTTTGACCCTTCCGCGTGATATTCTTGTGACGGAGACATTGTCAAAGTAACATTGTCTGGGCCGTCTGAGGGTAGAGAAAAAAACGACAGCAAAAAAGTTAGTATGCACAACTGCATTAGCATACATTAAGTCATGAGAAAAGAGAGCCTGCAATAAACACTTTCTAAATGAAACTGATTGTACATTGATTTAGCTCACACTGTGCTGTAGTTTGCAGTGATGCTGTACTGTATTCCATTAGGTTGAAATGTGTTTTTAATACTTTGTACAGCTGATGGGGAAACAAAAAGAAGAATAATCTAAACTCTTTGTCTCTGTTTGCGAACAGATGTCGTCAGATAAAGAACTGAACATGTAGGTTAGTAACTCACAGCTGATGTTGAAGGTTATTGAAGTACTGTTGTCATTACTGACAGGATTGGACACTTGACACCTGAATGGTCCCTTGTCGTAGCGGGTCACATTTAATATAGTGAGATTGGCGCCTCCATCAGTGAGCTGAACTCTGTCACCTTCTGTAACCTCAGAGCTGCCGTTCAGCCAGAGGAAAGACAGAGAGGATCCAGAGGCGGAGCAGGACAGACGGACAGAGCTGTTGAACTCCACCAAGTCTGTGCTGCTGGCTGTTGCTATTACATTGGAAACTGGCTCTGTGGGTGAAAAACAAAATGGTGTTAGATTAACCTCCAAATAAGAAAGGTGCAGTAGAGGAAAAGACTAAATTTAAAATTTACACTAGCTCCTGCCACTACAAAAAAGCAACATTTTCTCACTAATTATTTCGTGACCAAGATACAAAGGCCGAAACGCAATTTGGGCTCTTACACAATGCTTTGCACATCAGAGGGACATTTAACCAGCATTGATTTAACTCAGTGGTATTTTTAGGCTGTACTTTTTTGTAGCTGCTCTTTGGAATAATTTTTCAAAGTAATGTAGCCCAATTGAACACCATCAGAAAGTGTGACCATAACAGCTAAATCTACAGCTTTCTGATGCAGTCTCAACAAGAGCTAAATATATACATACTATATAGGTGTACCTAAAAACAGAGTCAGTGAAATTAATTTGGCTTTAAATTTCATTAATTTCCAAGTCGTTGTTTTGACAGTCACAAGTATGTTTTAGGTCTTTGCAAACATGTCCCAAATCAATCCCAAAGTCAAGCCTAACAAATTCCAAGTCAAGTCCCAGGTCCTTAACATGAGTTTAGAGTCCTAAACAAGTCATAACTCACTCATAATGCCATAATGTGCATTTTAAAAGCATAGTAATAAATTTACATTTTACAGAAAGTATTTTAAAATTTGGTAAATGGACCTGCACTTGTATAGCACCTTTCTAGTCATCTGACCATTCAAAGCACTTTTTAGACTATGAGTCACATTCACCCATTCACACACATTCATGCACTGATGGCCAAGGCTACCATACAAGGGGCCACCTGCTACTCAGTTTTTTTTTTTAAACACACTCACACACCGATGGAAGCATCATCGGGAGCAATTTGGGGTTCAGTATCTTGCTCAAGGATACTCCAACATGCAGACTGGAGGAGCCGGGGATCAAACCGCTTATCTTCTGATTGGGGGGACGACCTGCTCTACCCCTAAGCCAAAGCCACCCTAAATTAAATATGTGCATTTCACATTTATTTGAAATGCAATTAAATATTTGCATTTCAAATAAATGTGACTAAACCGGATTATGAAAACAGAAGTGCTGACACTGCATATTTCGTAGCATATAACACTGTAAACCAGCACCACCACACAAGGAATTCTGTATGTTTTTCTATTCAACTCATCCCATATTGGAAAAAAATATTTTCCCTAATTGGTTTGGGAGATGGCATCAAGTACTTTCAAGTCAAATGGCTCAAATCCAAGTAAAATAATGAGTTGTTGGTGTCACAGTCCAAGTTGAGTTGCAAGTCTTTTTTGACTTTTTCGAGTCTAACTTAATCAAACCTGTGACTCAAGTTCAAGTCATGTGACTCAAGTCCACAGCTCTGCTTAGTACTATGTAATTATTATAATGTGAGGATGATAATAATAATAATAATGATAATAATAATAATAATGATAATGGCTGTTCTTCTTCTTCTTATTATTATTGTCTGAATTCTGGTCTCAGTATAGGCCTAGATGTAATTTGAAACCACTGAAAACCTCAACACAATTATTTGAACTGAAACAATGTCTATTTCTTGTTCAGTTGCTCTGCATAAACTCCATTCAGCACTGAAATAGATACATGTGAAATGTTGTCTCACCATCTACGTTCAGTCTCGTTTCGCCTGTCTTCTGTGGCTCTCCATATGGAAAAATGTTAACTCTGTATACCCCACTGTCATGTAGAGACACATTTCTGAGCTCCAGAGATCCAGTAGACATGAAGAGGGTGATCCTGCCTTCATACTCTGGTGCAGTTGAGTTTGTACCACTGAAAGTGATTATATTTTTTCCATTAAATGTCCAGCCCAGTGTCAGAAATGGTTTCTCTGGTGGAGTCAGTGTTGTGGTGAACATCACTGTCTCTCCCACAGCTGCATTCAGAACATCAGGCAACACACCAGCTCCTTGGGTTAAACCTGAGGAGACAGTTAGGCAGATCTGAGAACACTGCAATAAGTTGAGCACATTGCAAAATGGGCCACTTGGAAAGAGAAAGAAACCCCCCAAATGATCTTTTCTATTATATATTACAATGGTTGTCTATCTCAGTGGTTCTCAAATGATGTGCTGTGGCACATTGGTGTGACATGACGCAAATCCAGGTGTGGCAAACTCTACCTTAAAAATATGAATTCAATCATAAAAAAAAAAAACAAAACTTCACAGGGAACCTATGTGTCAGCGTTTGCACGAGGGAATTTTAAGTGTGTGACACATCACATTATCTTACATTACTTCCCGTTTAATGGATGTGTTGCTGGTGCTTTGATGTAATATTACAAAGTTTAAAATCAAGTCCTGAATCAATTTGTTAATAGATATTTCATGAGTAATGGTTGGTTGCCAATTGTTATTTGATATTAGTAAATAAAAACTAACATTTATGTTATGATGAGAGTGATAACACACGTTACAGAGGTTATTGTGCACAGATATAAATACAGGTTTGCCTTGAGATTCTGGCGTGTCCTTTGGTGTGCCTTGGGCACAAAACAATGGCATTTTTGGCCATCAGCTTTCTTTTAAATCACATTACAGATCTAATCTAACAAAGTGACCCAGTTAGCAAGAGATCAATGAGTTTTTTCTATTTTCTCTCAGACCAACACACACAAAGGAGCTTCATCGAACATGATTGTGATTCATACAGTATTAATAAAACTACATTCTTTATTTAAATTAATTTAAAAAAAATCCCAGACATTTCAATGTCACTCAAACCACTTACAGTATGGCTTACTATAAATAAATGCAGCAATTAAATTGCCTTTACCAGTTAGGCTATTGGCTGTTATTCATGCTGCTACTGAGTCACAAAAGCATGGTTAGCAGACCTCAAGATCAGTAACCAAACTTCTCTCCAACAACTTAAACGATTTTTAAAATACAGAAAATGTATCTTAAATACTGACAGCAAAGACAATAAACTTATAAAATCATGATTCCTACCTGTAAAAGCCACAGAGACAATACAAAGTAAAGGTAAAATATCCATTGATCGATCGTTGTGAAATGTGAACAACTGAGGAAAGTTGAACCATCAGACTTTGACTGTCCTACTAAATGTGAGCGTCTGGCAGCTCTAATTTCATGAGTGAGTAAATGCAGAGCAACCCACATGTTGAGTTACAAAGTGTCTGCATAATGTCATAAACCCACTGAAGCTGCAGTCATGCCCTAAAGCTGCAAGACGTCGCCCTCCAGTGGTGTAAATGTGTTTGTACTGACATACTGCTGTGGTATTAGTGATACCACAAGCAACATGTGGGTTTGTAAACAGAGTACATTCGTTAAGGCTATTTAGATTGGACAAAGCATACAAATAAAAGCATTATAGCATACAGTACTGTGCAAAGGTTTTAGGTAGGTGTGAAGAAATGCTGTAAAGTAAGAATGCTTTCAAAAATTATAAAGTTTGTTTACTTTTATTAATTTACAAAATGCAAAGTGAGCAACCAGAAGAAAAATCTAAATCAAATCAATATTTGGTGCGACCACCCTTTGCCTTCAAAACAGCATCAACACATTTTGTATATTGACAAAAACAAACAATTAAACTTTATATTTTTGGAAGCATTCTTACTTTACAGCATTTCTTCACACCTGCCTAAAACTTTTGCACAGTACTGTATTGATTAACCTGTGATATGATGCAGCAAAAATAATGTCCATATAAGTTGACAGTTTGCTGTGAATATATCAGTTAATTCTCACTAATAAGTTGTTGAATTAAACCTCAAAGGCTGTTAGCAAAAGCAACGGGAAGTCCAACAGGACAGTCAGGGCAAACTAATGCTGTGCAGACATAAATGTTGCTCTAATAGAATAATAAAAATATATAAAATTATACACACAGCATCTAGAACAAATTAAAAACAAGTCTTGTTTTGAATATTCATTTTGTGTAAACATAATACAGCTCCAATGAAGAGCTGGAACAAGAATAATATTTTATGTTACACAGATGGGAACAAGACATCTTTAGTGTAAATAAAATGGTGGACCAACAAACCAACAGCCGATACTGTCGCATAGCTTGTAGTAAAACAATAAAACTATTGTCACACACAGTGCATAACTTTCACACCTACTGTACAGGCCACTGTGTTAATTCATGAATAAATCCCTGAATGTTTAGTCATGTCAAACTGTGATATTTGTTGTTATTTGGGCATTATAAAAAATGAACTCCTTCACAATACATCAGTTTTAATTAATTACAAATGATCTTGACTGCTTGATGATCCAACGTTGCTTGGTGCGTTCATAGTTAATGATTGAGGATGCAAAACAGTGCAGATTAGTGAGCCTTTCGGAGGTATGATGATGGAAACCCCCCCACAGTACTTCCCTGTACTGCCTTGATAAATCGAAATCAACACACATTCCTCTGACATAAGCAAAGGCAAAGTGAAAGACTGTGAGCCCTCTTTTCTCCCATCACATCTGATGAGACTGCAGAAGAAATGGAAGTAGCTGTGATACACTTGATCATCCTGGGAGCCATCGCAGGTGAGTTCTTAACAAATGACAGCAGGTAAAAGTTATGTATTTACTTGTTAATCAAAATGTAACGACTGATGCTTAACAAAGCTTTGGGAGATAACTACAAATGGGTAGTTCAGATTTTTTCACATTAGATGGTATGAGCTTTTCACTGGTACTAATATGAGTGCATAAACACATTAGTTTAGTCGGCACATTGTGTGGATGGAAATATTCCTGTTAGCTGGCAACTTGACAAATATACCTAAACCACAATGCAGCACTGACAAAAATGACATTCACAACAGAATGCAATACATTTGGTGTAGTGTTACACTGTATTATCTATATCACCTGTATGGACTGTTTAGTTTGATAAATAATTTCCTGCTATGGTTACTATCATCATCAAATGAAGTCCATTCCTAACTCAGACAAGTGGAGCCCAGTACTTCCTTTAAATAGTGTGTGTGTTGGATACACACACAGTAATCGAAGCTTAGCCTCTACACTGTACACATAGAGACACTGTATATTGCATGTATGAAGATAGGATGGGATAAGATAGAACTTTATTTATCCTGAGGAAAATGGCTGTGCAACAGCTGCAATACAAAGTTAGAAAAGTGCAGATACAAAGCTAGATAACAGTAAGGTGCAAATTATAGGAACTAGCTCACAGTAGAATTAAAAAAATAACTATCTAAAGTAAGGTGCAAACAGGTGCAACTAATATATACAACAACACAAACAGGTTATGTATGAATGATATATGTGTTATAATATTATATCATGTAATATAATATGTATTATGGGAAAACGCTTTAAAAAATCTAAAAATGTACTTACCAGTAAATACTGTATACATAAACCAGGCTAATTATTAAGCGTAACAGAAAAGGAAGTCGAAGTCGTTCCTTTTTTCACTAATATTAGTTCCCTTGCTGTTGTTGATAGAAACAATGGGTAATTATTAACCCACATAACGGGTTAAAGAGGACATTGAGGGGTGAATTTACATATAATGGATTGCCACTGCTCAAAGCATCATAAAGTGTGTATCACTTGGTATCGCTATCTGCCCCGTCAACAATCTCCAAGGCTGAAAAATGAAGCCAATGTGAAAATGGTGAAAACTGCAGTTCATCGAAAGGTGACTTGAAGCTGGCTCCAAAACAGTGAATCCCCTTATGTTAAAATGGCCAGCTTTACAGCAGAAATAAACGTGTTCACAGCATGGTGCAATAACTGGTTTTGGTATAATAACATTTCCTCCTTCATGACAACTGTAGGGGGAGGATTTTTTTTTTTATAGCTTACCCATTTACATTTTATAAAGGCCCAAAGTTACGCATATGATGTTCGGGTCTGTGGAACCCGTTTTAATTTTTTATCAAAAGAAAAATGATACGATTATTTTTTCAAACTGAGACTCATTGGCCTTGGCTCATTTTCTGCGAAGAACATATATCAGAACACATTTTCTATGACCACACACTGTTTACCCCCCCTACATGTGTATATTACATACAGGATGTTTGGGTCCACTGGACCCGGGGCTAATAAAGGTGTGGAAATAGTAGGGCCTGTGTACCTTAACTCTGTCCTCCACCTGTCTGGGCCTGCTGTTAGCATATGTGTTTTGTGTTGCCCCTGCCTTTCCCACACCAGGCTGCAACATTCAAGCACCAACACCTGCTGCTCTCACAGTCCCACACATTTTACCCTCTGTCTTGCGGGATCCAATCTTTATTTTCTCATACTCTATCCTGCTGCAAATTGGGGGCAGGACACATTACATATAGCTTTGTCAGTGTGGTTTCTTATCACAACTTTTTAAGATGGCCTTGCAATTGATTTTGGAAAAGAGAGAAGCTTTCAGTGATGATGCAGAGGTAGATTGACTACTGTATGTGTTCAGCTTGTGTTGTGTAAACTGACCTGAATGGGTTAAATTTCTAATGAAGTTCAAATAGATAAAAATCAACACATCCATCAATAGGTATGAAAAACCTTGCTTCATTTGTAAATTTGGTGATTTTTTTCCACTCATATTTTGATTATAATTGATTTTCTTTTTTTTATTACATTTTATTAAAAAAAACGAGTAGCACTTTAATTCATAAATATGATCTAACAAAGGTGAAGGGCAAATATTAAATGCTGTTTATATTGCTTGTAATTGAGATGAAGTAAACGTCTGTTGAGTATTTTAACATAAAATTGTTTGATTGCGTTGAATTAAAAACCCCAAAATTTTGTGGGTCCACCAGACCCACAAACAGTGGCTGGACAACAAAATATGAACACCATACAAGGGTTAAGGGCGGTCCACTTTGAGCAACAGGCTGTCTCTGAGCTGTCCCTACAGTCTATGACTTGGATCCACCCCTTGCTGCTCCACAGCTCCAATCTCTCGTCCAAATATGGTCACTTCTGGGTCCAAAAAAACAAAAACAAGATGGTGATGGCTAAAATGCCGAACCCGAGGCTTCAAAACGGCAGTCCACAAACCAATAGGTGACATCACAGAAGCTGTTACGGTCTTGAGCCGTTGGCATTGTTTCTCCACTCTGCGTGTGTGCTCTATCCCGCTGTGTTGCAGCAGAGCGTCTCCAGCGGGCGTGTCCTTCCAGCACCTGGATGGATTCCCCGGCGACTGATTGGTGCGGGGCTCCGCCAATCAGAGGGCGACGGCGCGGGGAAAGGATATAAAAGGCTGGTGTGCCCTGCAGCCGCTGGCAGACACCTTAGAAGCTCTATTTTGTGTGGTTCAGCTTTCTGTATAGTGTGAGCGTTAGCTCTTGATTTGTGTGCTGTGAGCGTTAGCTCTTGATTTGTTTATTTCCCAGATTTGGGCCAGGTGTAAGTTCATCACTGATTTCGATCACCTGCACTCATGGTTAGGTTTTTGTCACATTGTTTAGTAACACTAGGTTTAGGGGTGCTGGTCATTTGTATTTTTGTTTTCACCACTTCACTAGAGCAGTTAGTTAGGTTTTGTTTTAAGATTGCCTGATTTGTTGTTATTCCCGATTTATGTTAAACATTAGACAGATAGCTCCATTTTATTTTAAGGAGTCCTCTTTTGGTTATATTTATTTGTTGATTTGACAGCACCTGGCGGCCCTTTTCTGTTGACTTCATTATTAATTTCCATTTGTCTTTATAAATAAATACACTTTAATTTGCAATCCTTCCATCGGGTTGTGTGTGTGTGTTACTTCCCTTTTCCCGTAACGAGCTGGGTTTGTAACAGAAGCTACGTCCATTATTTACACAGTCTATGGCCCCGTCTCAAGGTCAGATTAGCAAAAGATATCGCACTAATGATATGACAGTGCAAACATGCCCATAAAGTTTGCAGGTGAGTGAGTTTTTTTGTGTCTGATCACAATTATCCATGAGGGAAAAATAAATGTTGCTTTTGCGCCAAGAGCACAGAAGGCAGAATCATGGCAGAGGGGGAATAGGAACATAGTGTCAATTTGAAACTGGGTGAGAACAGTCACACTGCAGTTATTTGGCTATCTACACCAGGCCACCAGGAATGCTGCTCAGTCTTGCCTCCAATTAATTCCAGTGGCCAATTATGGTATTACAGTGAAAAAATTCACTGCACTCCAAAAAACATTTTTCCCATAGCATTGCATTAGAAATCTCAAATCAGTAAAAACAATTATGACTCTTACTCCTATGGAAGTTTGTATTTGTAAAATTTTCCTCCAGCTGAGAAAAGTCATTTAAAATCTGTAACATCATTACAATAAAGAGTCATACAGTAAATCACTGGTGGAGCCAGGGGGAGCAACACTACTGGGCATATTCAGTGGTCCAGATATCCAGGAGCGCATTTTCGGTGTATGCACAAGGCCCCCAGAAAGTGTGCCAGATTTTGAAGCCAATTTTCATAGTGGTCAAACAGTGAAACAACTTCTGGGTCTGTCATGTGATGCCATTGGGCCAAAAAAGACTTTTCCCATTGTCTTAAATTGTGAGAGAGACATCTGGAAATCTGTGGATAATTTTTTGTCACAACCCCTGCAAAATGACTCCTCTTACTATCAGAATTTTATCTGTTTGGTCTGATAGAACTTTTTGTCCTACTTGTCCAGGTTTAGTAGCTGCAAAAGCCGCACGATCCTTTAGTGAAGTCTCCCCTCAGTGCAGGCCTACTCTCTGACTCTCTGTGTAAAATTAGCGATTTGACAATCAGCTTAACTTTATTCTGAGGTTTTGTTTCAGTTTGCAGCAAATACATTTTTTTAGAGAACCCTCAAAGTTTCAACTGAGGTATTAAAAAAGTTACGATGCTTCAATGCGCATACTCAGAGGGACGGTACTGTATTTTATTTTATGTTTTATACTTTTTATTGTCATCACATTTTATGCACACATTGTACATATTTTTGCAATCTACTATGGATAAGAAAAGAAAAAAGATGACACCTTTTTTGTTTTTTTTGACAAGATATGAGTAAGTGTACCACCCAGTGATATGTTGAACCAATCAATATAACAACAAAAAACCTAAATAAATACTAAAAATACTGACATTTCATTTCCATGTGTTCAGTCAATGTCAGGTTCATAACTGTAAGAATTAAAAGCAAAACAAATCAAATACATCCTTGATTCTTTTTCCACCTAAGAAAATCTTATTTCATAAGTCTATTTTTCCCCTTATCGAGGTCTCTCATCTACCTCAATATTAACAAGAAACAAACACACACACACAAATAAATAAATAAATAAATAAAATAAAATAAATATAAATAAATAAATGAAAATAAAAAAATAAAAAAATAAAAAGTAAAAAATAAATAAAATAAAGAAAACAAGAGTGCAGCCTTACTCAAAGCAAGGCACATTTAGTGCTCCCCCAAATGACTGTCCGCCTCAAAATGAGGAACCAAGACTCATTACTTCAGTAATCACTCTTTAACCACATTATAATACATCAACCACTTAGACCATCTTTTATCAAATAATTTCAGGTTACCTCTCAGTTTGTAAGTTAAATACTC